TACTCAACTTATTTAATTAATTAAATAAGGAACGAACAAATACAAATCCGCAAATAACAACTTTAAGTCTTCTTTTACTTATAAATTGGTCCTTTTGAAAAATAATGTGTGCAAATCAAATCTTAAAAATATTTACTATCCATAAAATAAAATTTTCGCTGTCCAGTCCAATCTTTGGAAAACATTAAATTGCATCATACAATATTTAAAAAATTATATTTTAAAGAAACACATATGGCTGTTTGGAATTTTCATGAGATTAAAATTAGGGAAAAATTCACAAGTAAGAGGATAAGTATCCCCTATTTCAAAATTAAGAAAATAAGTTTGAAATTTCAAAAATCAGATTTTTATTAAATTTTATTATGATTTAATTAATTAATTATGATTTAATTAATTAAATATAATGATGTCATAATTATACAATTAATGGTCACATGTACATAATTAATTGGTCACGGATTACTTTTTAGGTCACAAATCAAAAATTCTATAGATCACGAATTATTTCGAATAAAAAATTTTATAAGTCACGAATTATTTCGAGATCACAGTTCAAAACGTATATAGGTCACAGTTTGTTTATCGGTCACAGTTCAAAACGTTTCGAGGTCACAATCCAAATTTTTGAAGGTCACGAATTAGTTCGTGATCACAAATCAACGATTTTACAGGTCACATATTATTTTTATTGGTCACATATCAAAAAATTACAGGTCACAGGTTAATTTTTAGTCACAAATTGTCGAATTTTAAGGTCACATGTTAATTTTTAGTCACAACTTGTAGAATTTTAAGGTTATAGATGGTCCATCATCACCAGCATCCTCCTAGCCACCCTCCAGTCAAGCCTCCAACTCACACTTCACCACTAGTCAAGCCTCCAACACTTACTCCAGTCAAGCCTCCAACACTCATAGCCAGTCAAGCCTCCAACTCCACCAGTCGAACCACACCAAATCGACCATCACAGTGCCTCGCCGGAAGGTAAAATCACCACCCGACTGCACACACTGCCCCACTACTCAACCAGCGAACCACACCAAATCGACCATCACAAATCACACACAACTCCACAGATCTGTGCGAAGAAATCAAATTAAGAAAAAAAAAAATTGATTCGCTCCGCCTCCGCCGTGAACCAGCACCACCACTCCTTCTCCTACTCGATCTGCAGCGCCGGAGACGACGGGCGCTTGTGGCGTAGTGTCGGCCGAAGCAACTCCATCGCCGTGACAACTTCCTCGTCGTGGCTGCCGGTGGGTAAGGAAGGAGAGAGAAGATGGTAGAGAGAGGAGCTCCATTGTCGTGACACTGCACCCAACTGTCGGATAGAGAGAGAGTCCGGTGGAGGAGCTTCTGCAATGACTGAATCCTCTGAGAGAGAGAGAGTCCTCATCGCCGCCGCCTTCTTCCTCGTGGAGATGGTAGAGAGAGAGAGGCGTGGAGATGGTAGAGAGAAAGGCCGCGGGGTTGGGATAGAAATGGAGAGAGAGAGGGGTTAGGGTTGGTAAATATAATTATTTTATAAAAATATTAATTAAAATAAAACGTCTGATTTTTGAAAGAAAAAGTATCTCACCTGATTTTAGAATTGATATCTCCAAAGATAGGGTGGGGTGTAATTTCCACTTAAAATTATTTAAAACGTATCAAATTAGTATTGGGCTTTCATTTCTTATATAGGCCGAGCACATGACACATCTATGGGCTAGGCTCATGGTACTAGATCATCACATAAAAAAATATGAGCTTGATTTAATTTAATTAATTCTTTTTTCGGGCTTCTACACCTTTATTGTTAATACATTTCAATTTCCAAGAAGAGTTAGAACCTAAAGAACCCGATGAATATCTACTTGTCCCGTTCCTCTTTATTTGTCTTTCCACTTTCATAGCGACATGTAATATGTCTTCCAACTTCACATAATGTTGCAATTCTACCATATTAGCTATTTCCCTATTCAAACCATTCAAAAACATGACCATGGTGACCTCTCTATCGTTCTAATCATAGCAATCTCCATATCCATCTCTTTATGATAATTCCACACTCCGAGAACTTTGGTAGAGGCTTTGCAATTTGATGAAACTCCCTATAATAATGATTAGACACCAACATCTTCCTCATGATAACTTTCATCTCTTTCCATGTATTAATAAGCCTCTCACGATTCCTCCTCCTAGATGTTACTACTTGATCTCACCAAATGATGGCATAATCGGTAAATTCAAGTACCACAATCTTTACCTTCTTTTCCTCCAAATAGTTGTGCAATCAAATATCAACTCTACTTTCTTTTTCAACTCCAAGTATGCCTCTGGATCACTCCTTCTTTTGAATGAAGGAATTGTCATTTTGATATTTCCCATACTTCTATCAACACCATTTCCAGCAATATCTATACCCCTCCTTTCATGTTTAACTGTTCTATCCCTTATTCTTTCTAATTCAACATCTACCAATGTATCCTCATTAATGTCACTATTCGCTTTACATTCACTAGCAAAATTCGCTCTATGATCCTGCCTACCTTACCTTCTTGTGTTAGGAATTTTAGATTGTTCCCTACGCAAATTAGCAAGCAATGTATCTTGTCTCTCCATCCACGCCTCTTGCCTATCCATTCTTTATCTCATATCACCAAACAACCTTTCAAATCATCGTATCTTCTCCTCCATCACGATGACTTAATTATTCTTCTCGATTGAAGTAGAATCGTCTCTGTATGACAACTTAAATCTAGTTTAATATTTGTCCCACGTGTGTACACACGTGTATCACTCAATTTGGCTTTTCCTTCTATTCCTCTCATCACTCTACCTTTTTCCACTCAATGTTTTCTTCCAACTGCGACAAACGCTGCAAGGTTTGGTCGAAATGGCAGCATTTTCTGCACCCAACGGCGCTCACCAACATTGTGTGTAGTGATTATACTCCATCGCACATAGCGACAAACCGCTGCATGCATTTGCTTTCTCTGTCCCAGGGGATTAGGTGGGGATGGATACAATGGCGGTGGAAATGAATGAGAGAGAGAGAGAGAGAGAGAGAGAGAGAGAGTTGGGGGCTAGGGGTTTAGGGTGGGCGTGGGCGTGGGATTTATTATGTAAATTTTTCCTTTAATTAATTTTTTGTTAATTACAACTAATAATCATATTTACCACCTGAAATCTGAATTTTAAAATTAACCCTCTTATTTATGAAATTAATCTTTAATTGTAGGGTTTTAGGTAATTTTCCCTTTATCTAAATGTCGTCTCCATTGTAAAGTGGGATTTTTTTCACCAAATAATTTTACGTCTTATGTTCGTCTAAATTGAAATTTGCCATTAGACACACCTACCTACACTCTAATGCTAAGCCATACATAATCCATTGGGTACAAACAGACTTATGTTCACCCTTCTATTAACCTAGAATATGTCATCAGATAAATCTACACGAACTCTAGTCCTAACTCATAATCTATGGTCTTACATATCTATCTAGCCTATTACTAGTATGAAATCTATATTTAAACAAATCTGTCAACACTACAAGACAAAAATCTCTATTTGTACTTAAATTCAATATTCGAAATGCATAGATCCTTGCCATTTATAAACTAACAACTAGTGTACGCACGTGCGATGCACGTGTTGCAGTTTAATTGGGTATTTAATAGCGTGGAAGATCACAAGCTTATTTCAGCATAATTAAGTTTGATGTATACAACAACTAACTGGAATGAAATAAAAGGGATATAAAGGTATTAAATAAATTTGCATAAGCAATTTTGCATACAAAATGCAATGAAATAGCTGGAATCAGCCTTGTATTATGGAACATATTTCTTTGTAAGGAAAATCACTATGCTTAGCTTAGCTTAGCTAAAAGCATCTGCTTATGAGAAAATTAACACTGAAGAGATGTATAATACTCATAGATATTGCACATGTTTGAGTTTTCCCAATTCATGTTCGAGCAATTTTTGAGACAGATATTCAATCACTTCACCGTCAATACCCGTGTACGTCTAGCTTAATGCTTGAAAAATCCAACAAGTCTCGACTTACTTTCAAGAAAAGTAACATTTTAGCATACTCAGTATAATCTAATTCATGTCATAACGACTTTAAGCTAGAAGTGACCGCAAATTTACTATTACTTTGGTAATATAACAAATTTCCGTTTGTTTTTTGTCAATGAAGGTCCTTCGCTAATGTTAAACTCAGGAGCAACACTTGCCATTAAAGCCAAACAATTTTTTCCCTCAAAATTCAAAATTTTTTGCAAACTACTTAAGAGAGACTACATATCCATAATCAAATGAATAATGCTACTTGCAGTCGCTCACTGCAGCAGTCGCCCTATGTGGCGCACACATGTCAAGTGTGTATTTGATGCATTAAATGTGGTCAAAACTACCACATTAATGCATCAAATAACCACATGCCATGTGTGCGCCACATAGGGCGACTGCCGCAGTGAGCGACTGCAAGTAGCATTACTCTAATCAAATAGATAAAATTATAACCTTTGAGCTTAACCAAGGCCTGACATTCACACATTTTCACATTTAGGCACATACAGTATTAACAGCATGAGCTAATAATAATGAATAAGAGAAGGTTGAAAGCAAAAGCCAATCTACTTTGAGCAAATAGAGATTGCGGTAGGTAAGCTCAGCATAACACACAAAATGTGATTAGATACCACTGCAAAGAGTTAAATGAACTTTACTTCTACAAAATAGAATTGTGCTGACATATACAATGCAAAAGACATGTAAATTACCTTCAGTTACATTATATGCAGCATAGTATTGAGGAAACCTTCTCCTGGATCCCCCAAATGCTTTTTGCCAAGTGTCAATTAAGATTAAGATTTTTTCCCGCATATTTAAATCAGGCTGCAAAGATAAATATTACTTTAAGTATTAATCAATAAGATATAATATGATACATGAGAGGATGAATCCAGTAATATGAAATGATGAAATGTAAAATGGACAACTTTACCTGATATTAGTGATTGATGGATCAGTATCACTGGCATGATTTGTCCAAAGATGAGCAACCATTGTCAATAGATTTTCTAACTGCACTTACAATCATGATAGAACTATCAAAATTACTTTAATTCAGGAGTTCAAAAAATCACTGATGAAAATACTTCAAATATTAAGAAAAACTATTGAAATAAATTAATATAGAAAGGAAGCCGAACTCGAAGAACTGTTGGCAACTGCTTTGGTGGTTTTTTATACTGCGATTCATGATCAAGCCAAACTTCAAAAGCTGTCAATTGCTCGGTAAAGAATGGACTTGGCTGAGGAAGAAAATTGTTTAGTGACACTCAAGCGGAAGTAGTTACTAATAAGATAAATAAAATAAAAGTCAAAACTTGTGGACACTTGGAGAATTATCTATGCTGTTGTTTTTGTTGTCACAATCTCCAACTTGTTAAACAATACAGAAAGAATGATGTGGAACATAAATTAACAAGGCAGACCTGGAACTTTGCATTAGGGTCCTCAACTAAAGTTTGAAGCTGGGAAACGGAGATTTCAGTAGTCATGTCCCATGCATTCCTATAGTGTATGAAGAGAAGATTAAGAAACAGATAGACAAACAATTATCAAACCAGCTAAGTTTTAGTATTTCTAAATGTACAGGGAGAAGTCTTTCTAAAAGTTACCACATGTGATGCTGATGAGTAGGAGGCAACACTGGATATGAAAGTAAAGCGTGTAATCACCCACTCCTGAATCAAAAAGTGAGACTAAATAAAATTGTGTGAAAAATGTGCAGTCACAGTTGGCTCTAAAAGTAACATAATTATATGATATGAATTGTAACTCCATTTCATTAACCTGTAACGAACAAGTAAATTATATAATTTAACAGTCATGCAAGCAATACCATCCATGAATCACAACTCAAAAGCTTTCAATTTTGCATGTCAACTCTTCCACAATTAGCATTCAACTCAACATTGTGATTTACATAAAAGTCAAAGAAATGCAATTCCCAGCCAACTTCACCAGAACCCCATCAAGAATACTTGCGGCCGTTGAAGGTTTCAATAATGAATGAGCGAATCTATCATCAGCAAAATGACATCAATTGAAAAGGTTATTGCTATAATCTATAGTTCATTTTTGAAGGAGTACAATATGTAAAGGTGTCAAGAACGAGAAAATTCATTATGGTGATAGCTTGATAAAGGAGAAAAGAAGAATCTAGAGAATGCGACACACATTTAGTCATACAATTGCTAGTAAAAGGGAAGTTCCAAGGAATAGAAACTTTACCAAGCCATATGATATATCAATTCCAACATAGTAATGATCTTTGGTTTATCTCATTTGATAATATCACCACTATAGTGCACATAAAAAAGATACCGAAGATGCTAAATTACTACATAAGCACACGGTAAACATTGAATAATCCCACATAATCCCACTCATACACTACCTTCGAACAAGCAGATGAAGAACTGCATATCCTCTTTTCAAGAATGGATATGGTAGTCATTGTCAAGTAAACCACTAAATTTGATGCTATTCCGTAGAAGGACATTCTTTCAAATGCTTCATACCCTGCATAAATAACCAAGAAAACAGAATCCGTGTTAATATATTTTTTCCTAGGAAATTCCATATTATGCAAATGATGGGATAAGAAGTGCATTCAATACAAATCACATCTTTTCCTAAGGGAATTCTAGCCTGATGTAGGAAACTTAATTGGAAGGCGTAAACGTGTACCACATTGCAATCATTTCAGTTGTAACATAACTACATTAGCAGTCTGAAAGTTAGATACACATTCACAGAACCACATTACAATCATTTCAGTTGTAACATTACTACATTAGCAGATAGAGCAGACCAAACTATTATTCCATATCTATGGGGGAGTTTTTCAGCAGTCCATTTGAGTAAATAAATGCATAATTTAATTATAGATCTTCAAACATGTCTTAACCTAAGCCAACCAAAAAAGTAAACCTGGCTGTAGCTTGCAAACCAGGAGCAACAGGTATTCTTCTCAAGAAATTGTAATTATTGTTTCCCACTCCCTAGTCCCATGTCCTCCCTTCCTCACAAGATAAGCAAAATCAGGGAAAATAAAAACCCAGAGTTTTCCAAGTCAATGATCTGAAATATGTTTTCCATGGAACAAACTAAGATGTAGAAACAAAAAATAAATAGTAACAGGGATTGTGACAACTGACTCACAATCTTCCATCACACTGATGGCACAGCAACAAGAGAAAAAAAATAAACAATACCATGACAACTTAAAAATAATAGTAAACTCCCAAGTCTTCACCTTCTTGGGGTCTAATGTTCCTTGCTGGCAGAGTATCCTGTTTAAAATCATCCAATGAGAAACAATTTATAAGTACTTCAAAGAATTATGCTTACCAAGTGTTCGATAAGATGGAACTGGACAGTGTTCTTACGCGTCGATTGCAGATGCATTTGCAGCTTTAGCTTTATCAGCACTAATAAGTGGATAATATTTATTTTCCGGCAATGATTTGGAAACGCTAGTCCCCTGATTAGATATATAGGCATTAAAACAGGCCAAGAATGAAAAAAGAGGCATTTTCAACAAGCTACGAATGATCAAATGGAATCCTCAAAAGAGGCATATTGTCTCGATGAAAGTCAGATATTAAAAAATTTTGTACCTGACCAGCCACTTCGCAGTTTTTGATGAGATGTGCATGATTCCCATCGTGCAATCTTTAGAATTCTTGTTATACTGCGTGGCCAGAGTCTGTCTACCACTTTCAAGTTCAGCAATAGCACAAAGCATGTCCTATAGAATACGAGAATGAGATGTCAGTTAGAAACATCAATAATAATAGTACCAATTCAACCTGAAACCATAAGTCACTTTAAAATTCTATCACCCAACAAACCATGCCGTTTAAATTCTTTAAATGATTTGTGACATCTACTGTGATCTAAGTAGTGCTATTTAATCTACAAGTAGAATATCATACCGAATCAATATGTGAGATAAAATGCCTTTGGACAATAATTCCCGCCACAGCCTGAAAAAAGAAAGAATCTTGATCTTAAACTATATTTAATTGCAGAGAAAAATACATACTTTTGGAGGCTGCTTAGCTATTGATGAGAAATTGACAGTTGCTTGAGTATCATAATTCCTATAAGCCGATATAGAGCAATTCACTGCAATACCACTCTTCAAGTTATTGAACTTGCTGGATTTTCAATTTTTCAATTCTAATGCCCAACAAAGAACTCAAATTAGGTGCTGCGGTGGTTAAATAGCTGTAGAAATTTATTCACTTCACTTTCATCTCAGTAAATATATTTTGGTACCAACCCATGAGAGTTCTCTAGCTTCATAATTTCTGATCCTGTTTCAATATCAGTGGCCAGAAAAAAAACCAAAAGAATGCTCTAATTCTTACTTCTCAGTGACAAACTATTAAAAAATTTAAGAGTTTTCAGGATTTCGAGTTAACATGTTTAATACTGTGACCATGTTGCATGTTATCTCTTAGTACGAGAGTACCTTTCCTTGGTAGCCAAAATCTGATTACTTATCAAGAGAATGTTAAATCTAATACCCAAAAAAATAATATAATTTCTCATCTAGCATCGCACTAATTGATATACTCAGATATAGCTTTGGATCCAAATACAGCAAGTCCTGCGTCATCATTCTTGCTAAATATCATCTACATAAATTCAAATGGAAAATGGGATTTAAAAGTTTAGAATAAATACCACAATTCCAAAATCCACCGTACATTGAACAAAGAAGTTGGTAGCAAAAAGAAATCGAAATAAAGAAAATAATTAACAGGCTTTCTTCGGGTAAATTAGCAATCTTCTGAATTTATCCATTTTATTATTTGATCATAATTTAATCCAATACATTGAACACCATCATTGTTTTGAATCAGAGTTTTATAACTTTTTAGAGTGCTATAACTTTTTTGTGAATTTATCGTTTTTATTATTTGATCATAATCTAATCCATTACATTGAACACCTTCATTGCTTTGATAACAAAGTAATATTTTTACTACTATGAACAATCATAACGAAATCGAACGAAATATGTGTACATCTGTAAATAAGTAAAGGAAATTTCCACACACTACAAAGTTAGAAGAATAGAAGATGCACAAACCTATTAGATCGAAGATACAGGAGAGCTGGAGATGGAGCTGTAACGAAGGTTGATCTGAGTTCGAGGACTTTGCTGGAGGCGGAAGCGAAGGGAATCCTAGGAAAGAGACGACACGAGCTCGTGAAGTGAAGAGAAGCCATGAAGTGGAGAGGAAACTGTACGGAAGGCAGATCTGAGTTCGAACAATTAACCGGAGACGGAAGGAAGCGAAGGAAACCCTAGAAAGGAGAGGACACGATCTCGTGAAGTGAATCAAAGTGACGAAGATATAGTTTCTCCTTTCTTTGTATAAAATTTGTATACCCACCACCAAAAGCGTCTGGCCAGATTCCGTTCCCTCGACTTCGGCTACCAGAAGGAACTTTTCATCGCCGCTGAAGAGAGAGACGGAGACTGGAAGAAAATGTGAGGGGAAATGCAAGGAAAGAACACGCAACATCCCCAAAACGGTGTCGTTTGAATGGCGAAAAAACGGTGTCGTTTTGTCGGACGAAATTGGGAACAGTAAAATGGAAAGTGTCTCTTTTATTGTATAGGGATATACAAGGGAGACATTCAATTTAACATTACACTATTTATATTCAAACTACAAGATTTTATTTTAAATAAATAACGTGCTTACAAGTTCAAACTCGGCTCAAATTCGACTATTTCAAAACGACGAGACAACCAAGTCTCGAGAGAGAGAGTCAATTCTTCGGTTGTTGCTATTTCGCGGACATCTTGTTCCAGTTTCCTTTTTACGGCGTCAAGATTCTCTTATCGGCTTCTCCGTATGCTACCACCACCGCACCGCGACCAGTGGACGCGTAATCACGGCTTTGTCCATATCCCACTTCAAGAATCAAACAAATTCCACCATCTCCTCATTCATTGAATTTCTTTGACAGCATACTAAGAAACCTGAATTCTGTGAATCTGAATTGAATTCTATATATTTGCCGATTTGTTATAAAGATATCATCTAGGGTTCCGGAGTGCAGTTTCTTCTGTGTGTGTGTGTGGGAAATTGAATTCAGATGAATAATTTGCAGCTGGAGATGGCACCACTGGGTGCGGAGAGTCATGGGGATTCTGATCCCCTGCTTAAGGAGAACGCCAGATCATCTGGGAGCTCTATTTGTGAGATAAACAATGAACCTGATGTTGAAACTGCTTCCTTGCCTTGTTGCAGAATTTGCCTCGAGTGCGACGGTCAGGATGGTATATGATTATGTTTTTGCTAGTTAATTATGTTTTTAGCTTTCTGTCAAGATTTTATGAAGTTTTGGTTTTGGAAGGTTTTGACTCACTAACATTCTTCTGTTAAAATTTTATGTTTTCTTTCTTTTTCAATGGTGTGACTGTATTCTTAGGGGTCTGGATGCATTATTTTGCTTGTTAGTACTTTTAGTTCACTACGAATCAATGGATCATGACTCTAGAAGATCGGAATACTGATGTAAAAAAAATTGAATTTCCAGATTACCAAATGTTGTATGGCATTAAAACAAACACGGTTGCTCGACTTCTAGTTATAAACCACTTCAAAAGTTTGATATCAAAAGTATGAGCGTATGCCTAGTTTGGTATTTTCATAGTTTGATTTGTGTTTGTTGATAAGCTATTTACTGTGTATTTGATTTCCTTCTGTTATTGTATCATATTCTCTTTTTGGTGCTTGTTGTGTTGTCTTTATTTTTTTGTTTAGGGCGTGTTCGGTAGAGATTAAAATTGGATTAAAATTGAAAAACTAACCGTTATTGTTGACTTTTATTAGACGAGTGGGACCCAATAACGGCTATATTTTCTATTTTAATTGGATTTTATGCTTGCCTTGTCTTTATTTTTTTGTTTAGGGCGTGTTCGGTAGAGATTAAAATTGGATTAAAATTGAAAAACTAACCGTTATTGTTGACTTTTATTAGACGAGTGGGACCCAATAACGGCTATATTTTCAATTTTAATTGGATTTTATGCTTGCCCAAACATGCTCTTAAATAGTTTTTAAGAATTTTGACCTCAAACCATTGTCTTGGTACCTATCTGACCCGGAATAATTTTCCTCTTCTTCATAGATGATGAATTGATATCTCCATGCATGTGCAAGGGTACTCAGCAGTTTGTGCATCGCTCTTGTCTTGATCACTGGCGGTCTGTTAAGGTGAAATTATCTGTTTCCTGATTATTGAATATTCATCATTAAATTATTTCACATATTGATAATATTTAGTCTACACTGTATCGTAATCTAGGAAGGATTTGCCTTTTCGCATTGCACAACCTGCAAAGCTCAATTTCATCTACAAGTGGCAGATTCGGAGGACAACTCTTGGCGCAAAATAAAATTCAGACTTTTTGTGGCACGTGATGTCTTCCTTGTATTTGTGGCTGTACAAACTGTAAGATCATTTATACTGACTATCATCTTAGAAAATATTTATGGCAGGATGCTATTATATTGGAATGAATTGACCTTGTTTAGATATCCATTGTCCACTTTCCTGTTTCTTCTTTTGGCTTAACTTGTTATGGGGAGTTTAAAATTCAGTCCTGTGAATTGTTATTCTGTTGTCTTTTAAGGATTTTAATGCTTCTGATTCTTGTGAGGGAGTCAAAAAGTTGGTGGCTCCATTGATTTATGACGGTTCTTAGTAAGATAAACCTGTTTGGAATGAGACACAAAGGGTGCTTATTTAATTCACACCTAATGAAGAGGAGGAGACTATCCACATTTTTGCTTCCGATAAGTTGTACAAATGCCACGCCGTCAAGCCACCAGGCATCACATTTGAAGACAAAGACTTGTGCCTTGTAATTAGATGACTTTTTACCTTTTATTTGCTAGCTTTCTTATATGGTTCACTGTGACCATAATTTCAATCTAGTGATTGGTGTATCTCCTTGGCAATTATGAATGTGGAAACTTCTTTCGCATGACATCTTTGAACAGCATATTACAACTATTGTTTTACCTTTAAATGCGTTGAGTATTACTTGGGACAACATTGTCCAAGCTAATAAAAATAAAAAAATAAAAATCAACATGCTCAAGCCTAAGGTCAACTTACCTTTCAAAAAAAACCTAAGATCAACTTATTTTTGTTCATGTCTCTCAAATGCCAGGCCAAGTCAATGTTTAATAAGGCTCAATCGAGTTCAGATTTATTTTACGTTTGCGAGGCAAGCGTAAGGCTTAAGCTTCAAGAACAAAAAATAATATTATTTAAAAGAATATTAAAATAAAAAATACTTATAATAAACCACAAACTATCTAGAAAACTCAAAGTAAAATAATTTTACAGAAGTAACTTGCTGATTAACATAACATAGATTATTAACATAGCAAATTTTAAGTTCTTAACTTAGTAATCATATAAAAAAAATCGTAATTTACTACTAGAAGTAGAAATAATGTAGAAGTATCCCAAAATATCCCTACTAACAGGACCTTGAATAGAATCATCAACGTATAAAATTTCCTGTCATCGTTCTCATCACTATAAGTTTTTTTTCTCATTCTTTTTTGTCATTCTCCACCTACAATTGTGCCTTTTCCTCCCCTTCCCCTTCTGTGCAATGATAGGAAAAAGAAAACAAAACAATTGTAAGTGGAGGAAAAACAAATGAATGCAAACCTCTACTGCTTTGAGGCTTAGCCTTGAAGCGTAAGCCTAGACAAACGGAACTCTTATGTATAAGCTTTGAAGTGTTTAATGAAATCCTCACTTTAGGTGCGCGTTGGAGCATAAGTATTAGAGTCTAGACAACTTTTTGAAAGAATGGATGAATTAGATTTCATGGTCGTTGGGATTAAATCACGTAAACCAAACAAGCTCGTACATAAATGTCCTCTTTTGGAATTTCTAGGAACATGGACATGGAATATGTGCAAGTATATCCTTGACCAACTTTAGTATATATGGAGTTTTCATCTATGCGTATATGCCATTTATGATGCACGGTTAATTTACTTGGGAAGTGTATACGTGTCCAACACATATCGTGTCGTGTCACACATTGAAACTCCCGGATACTTCATGATATAGGTTTGACAAACCAAATACCTTGTTTTATTTTTCATGTATTTTTTAAATTTCTAACGCTTGAGGATATTTTAGGGACATTCCTCGGCCAAGTGTTCTACAATGCATGTGTATTGTGTTGTGACTTATATGAAAAAGTACAAAAATAAAAAATATATATATAAATTCTTTATTTTTGAAAATTTAAAATCAACGTGTTCTTGTTCTACTTTTTAGAAAAATCATGTGTCCCTTTGTCCGTGTCGTGCAACTTAGTATGCCATCATAAGTCGGCAATCGTTGTTGAGATCGAATGATCTAGACTGAGACGAGTAGATCCACTTTCACCTTTCTTTTTCGGTTTGGTTCTTGAAGTTACACTAGATGATATAAACAGCTTCGGACAACTTGATATATGTTGTATTAGCATACATCTGGTTGTATCATTTATTACTAGTGAGTATTAAAAGAGATGCATATAGTGCATATATAACAAATTTGAAATGACGATTGTAAAATTTTTCTCACATTAATTTTTACCTTTTTTACCCTAATATTTTAATAATTAAAGTTACCAATTTTTATCGAATTACAAATGGGGCTTGCAATATCTTTTATGTGACATCCATATGTCTTCAAGTGTTAGTAACGAAGAACTGTGAAGTATATAAGAAATGCTACATGGCGCGTCAAACACTTCACGAAGAATTTTTAGGGGAGTGTCCTTCATGTGTTAAAAATTTAAATATACATAAAAATAGGGCTTGACTATAGCTTGTTGGATAGGTATCCTAGAGTGTTCAAGTAAATCTGGTATGTCACGTAAAATAGGAGTGTCCGTGCTTCTTAACTTGCTACTACCTGAAGTCGGTAATGATAATCTGACTTGATTTTGGGTAATTAATTGGAGTTGGACATTCCTTTTTCTTTCTCCATCATGTCCTCTGAATTCGCTCCCACCTAATAAAGGAGTTATTTGAAGGAGTGTCTGTGCTTCTTAACTTGCTACTACCTGAAGTTGGTAATGATAATCTGACTTGATTTTGGGTGATTAATTGGAGTTGGACATTCCTTTTTCTTCCTCTATCATGTCCTCTGAATTCGTTCCCAACTAATAAAGGAGTTATTTGATGTAGGACAGTTTACAACGTTTAATTTATGGTGGGTTGCAATAATTAAATGCCCATACGGTTAGGGAAAAAATGCAATATATTAAATCTATGGTGCGAATCAAGGTTGTTCAATGCTGGTGAGAGGTTGTGAACAATCATGAATATTAATATGTCCCAAGAGGCTGTTTTGTGCTTGGATAATGAGATTTTTAGTTCCGGGAGATTTGGGTTTGTAAGGGCTTATTATTACTGATGAAATGAGGTAAATAGATCTGAGTATAGTGCAGAAGGACTAAAAATAATTGTAAACAAAGATAAGAAGTTGGGGAAGATATGTGGAAAGAAAATACAGTTTACTGTAGCTGGTCTTGGTAAGTCCACATAAACACGATATCAATCCTTCAAAATTATCCACTCTATTGCAATTAAGTTATTACAAAGAGTTTTTAGAGGCTTCAGGGACTTTTCCATGAACAATAAGTAATAGAAGCCCAAAGTAGGAAATTACTAACTGTTCTATGATCATTCATAATTGAAAATCAAATAACAATTAAAAACCTCGATTAAGACTTGTTATTAGAAGTATGGGATCTACAATAGCCAAAATGAATGGTTAATAGCTTGAGAAAACATTTAGTAATTGATCTCAAGCTAGCCAACATAATACAATCATGTAAAATGCTATAAAATAATCAAGGACAATTATTACCGAAAAAGATCGGCTGTCTTGTGACCCACAGTTTGATTTAAGCTTCGAAACTGCACCATGTGTGTGTCACTCCTTAATGAAACTCGAACTTCACTACCATCATCTCAATATAGAGGATACTTGTTTTTTTCTCAATTTAACTTGCTCTTTTAAACCCTTTATCTTTAATGTAGGATTTGGACTTTGAATAGCTCTTATATAAAATCCTGCAACCCACTTCTTGCTTAACTTCTCTGATCACTAGTCTTTTCTCCTTAATTAGCCCTTATTTGAGCTACATTAAAATTTTAATTTTCATTCTTCTACTCATTTTCAACTACACATTCTTCAACAAAATAATATTTTCCATCACATCAATAACTTTTCCTTCTTTTTCAGCCGCACATTCTCCATTAATCTACTATTGCAAAATACATTCTTCCAAAATAATGTGACTCAAACACACCCTAGTTTGCTGATTAATTTCTTACATAGCTTAGGATTGTTTAAACCCCTGTAAATAGAGAGTTAACTATTTGTTTTAATACTCTCTCTCAAAATTTTCATAAATTGCCATTTGTGAATTTCATTACGAGCTTTCTACGTCATTTTGGTATCAGAGCTTCCTTTTTCCTCTTACCTACTGTTCATCGCATGATAAATTTTGCAAGTTATTGTTCATCTGTAATCCAGGAAAAAATATTTCTGTGTGGTTAAAGAAAATAATCATAATCCAACACAAACTAAAATTAAAAAAAATTCTAATTAATTTAATTCTTTTTTAGCCTCGAATATGCATCATTGATGAGGTGCTCGAGGATCAAGTTGTTTCGAAATATGGTGATTTTCCGAGATTTCTAGTGCTTTGAAAAGACCATCTACCCAGCAATCTCTTGGATTAATGAAGATGAATTTCGCCGACTAGATGTCAAGCTATTGAATGCCTATCTGGACTATAACTGGTCGAAGTTGAGTTCTTTTCTGCCATAGAAAAATGATACAAGGCAAAAAGGAATTAAATTAATTAGGATGTATTTAATTTAATTTTAGTTTGTGCTAGATTTTGATTATTTTATTAGTTAGTTTCTTATCTAGAGGGCTAACATTTTGTTTTGATCATACTTTGATTATGGTATACACACTACTCTCTAATTCCTCGTCTTTCTCTCTCAAATTCTTCTCAATTTTCATAAATTGCTATTTGTGAATCTCAAGCTTCCTATGTCTAAATGCTTTTCCATTTCTTTGGTCATTAAAACAGTGACGAGATGTTAAAAAAATAGTAGTCCTTATAAACTCTGTCCCGTGATAAATTCATTGTATTTCACTGGGGGAAGGCGGTGAAACACAATTATATTTGCTCATTTGAAACCTTTTTCTCTTTTAATGTAGGATTTGGACTTTATATAACTCTTGATAATATCACTGTTTCTTTCTCCTTTTCCTCTGACTTCTTTGATTTGGAAGTCCAAGGTTCCATTCAAGAAAAATGCTTTTGAATGTCAGTGGTTGTTAAAACATTGACCAGTTGTTACAGACACGTAGACCTTACACTTTGTCCTCTGATAAACGTTTTGTGTTTCCATGGGGGATTGGAACGCATTTAAGTTTATTTGCAGTTGCTGCAGAAGACTTTATATACTTGCAATTTCCTTATCCTTTTTTTTTTTTTTTGTTAAGATGTTTTCGATTTTGGTGGTAGCGAGGATATGCTGAGTTGTGGGGAAGCGATGTGGTTAACATGAGCAGATTTTGATTGAGAGCAATGCTAGATTCTTCTGAAATACCGTCATCTTTTCATTTCTCTTGGGAAGGGATGGTTTTCCTTTATTTGTTATTGGTTATAACTAATGGTGCGTTTAGCTGTTTGGCTCTGCTAGATATGCAACACAGTTGGACTGTACTGCTTACTCCATGGCTATCCCTCTATTTCTATCTTTCATATATGTATTTCTTAATGTATATTCCGATTAATACTCTTATTGAAGAATTTGCTTTTCTTCCTATTTCAATTTAACATAGTGGAATAGATATCATGGTCTTTAGGAAGTCTGAATTAGGAGTGTACCATCCTGTGCTTTGGAAAACTTCATGATGATTGACCAATGTTAAGAGAATCTAATTGTCATAGAGGATTAGGTAGTTATGCTGGAACTAATGTTTCAACTGAAAAATTATGTAGGCTCTTGAACTTCATAGGAAATGGAAATGAAAATTTCAGGCCATGGTGTACTAAATGCTTATAGAATTTTTTTGGAAAATTTGGTAGTGCATTATCTATTCAAAATGAGTTTTTGCTGTTTGTCTCTGTAGCATATGGATATTGATAGGAGCAATTAGGTTTAGGAACTTCCACACTTATAGGTTCTCTGCTGCATGCTCATTACTCAAAAGAAACAATAAGATGGGAATGTAAATTTGTGATAATTATTTTGCCGCTCTCTTCCCAGGTGATTGCAGGAATGGGTGGCTTTATATACCTCATGGACAAGGATGGAACATTTAGGAATTCATTTAATGACAGTTGGGACCGCATACTGTCAAAGCATCCTATTCCATTTTACTATTGCATAGGTAAATCTTTCCATCAATTTATGGACTTATATTTCAAGTTTGTTGTCATCACTGTTATTATTGGCATTCCAGTCTTGTTGTTTTATTACATTCTATATTACTAGAAGGATGTTTTCCCTTTTCAATTGGTTGTTTGATGTATTCTTATATTATCATGAAGTCTCGTCTTTCATAAATGAAACTGTGCCTCATTGAATTATTTAGATATACAGATTTTGCAGTGTCCATTTGCTTTATTTTGGATTGGAAATTTAAAAACATTCGCATAGGATATGTTTCTCCTGGAATTTATATTAAGAGTCCCATGCCCACCACCACAAACAAAAGAACGTAAAATATCTTTGGCTTCTAAGGTTTATAGTGTAGTACTTTCTGTTTAATCAAATGGAATAGCGGATTCTAATGATATTTATGACATTAACATGTCGAAACCAGGAGTTGTTGCTTTCTTTGTGCTGGTCGGGTTTGTCGGTCTCATACTGCATTGCTCCCTAAACACCAATGACCAACGGTTAGCTGGCTGTCAGAACTGTTGTTGTGGCTGGGGTCTCTTGGATTGTTTTCCTGCATCAATGGAAGCATGCTTTGTTCTGGTTGTCATTTTTGTTGTTGTCTTTGCCATTCTTGGCATTGCCTATGGTTTCCTTGCTACCACCATGGCGATTCAGAGGATTTGGCAGAGGCACTACCATATCCTCACTAAGAGAGAACTAACACAGGTATAATATCTTTACGTTATCTTCTTCTGAATAATCTCTCTTATGAAAACATGCCAAACTGATGATTGTAACTCATACTCATATGTAATTGATTACTTTTTCAATTCTACGCTTGGATTTGAGTTGCTTTTGAATGAATTTCAGACTGAACTTAATTGACATAGCTTACACAATCAGTTAGTTTTGAACTTCAATTGCAGTGCGGCAGTGGTAAATATGAAGTTCTATAATCTTATGAGAATTTTTCTCTTTTTTTGCTTATAAATATTTTTTTGGGTAAAGTATTTTAAATCAATCATATGAAGATCTTATTTGGTTCTTGATTCTTTCCACCTTAGCACACTCTAATTCTGAAACATATCTTTTTATTTATGTTGTTGAATTACACTTTTGAATAGATCTGATGACATCCATGTATTAATACTAAGTTTACACTAGAAATTGGTCTGTAATGCTGGCCACCATTGGGTCCATTCCTATGATTCAACATGTTCTGGTTTTGCTATGCAATCCGGGCTTGCTATTCGACCCATATTAAACAAAAAAAAAGGTTAAAATTTTGTCAATCACGTCCACTATGATATAATACCGCTTACCAAACATTCTGGATATTGCAGGAGTATGTAGTGGTGGATCTTTGCGGCAGTTACTCACCTCCCAAACTGGATCCGGAACATGAAGAGCGTCTGAGAACCCTTAAGCTGCTGTAAGGAATCTGGAGTTAATGACACATGAACCTCTGGCACGTCTCTCCTAATCAGAGATGACTTGAATGATATCACGTTTTTCTCTGTTATTTACCTTAGCTGGAATTTGAGTAGCAAAGAAAATCTAAATGGCCATGTGGCTCAATTGCCTTGGGGATGATGATGTACTCAATTAATTTATCTCAGAAAAGATTGATGTCTGGCTTAAATTTGATCCTTCTCGTTTCTGCTGTATATAGGAATGGTATTAATGGTTTAAAGCATGCTAAGCTTAAAAAAAGTAGAAGTTACTTTCAAGTAACTTATCTATTAGTAAGCTTTTTAAGCTTACCCAAACTTGCCTGCTTTTTCCTGTTTTCTTCTGTTACTGTTTCTTTTTTTATTTTTTTTAATAAATACTGGAGTGCACAGAGGTTGATTGAATTTGTAACTTCAAATATTATAAATGTTATATGGCTTCATTGAGACCATAAACTAGTAAGAAGGCATTTTTTTTTTCTAGAAGGAAAAGGCAGTTTTATTTTTGTTTCTAGAAGAACTGACTGTGAGTTATAAGGATTTTATCTCGAAGTCTTATAGTGTCGATAGTACTTGCACAAAGGAGAATCTGCACAACTTTTGAATAGGGAGTTTCGTAACTTTCTTAGGCTCGCTATCATATTTAATTTATGTGAATTATATTTAAATTTATTCCAGAGTTATTTGATTGCTATTTTGTTACACCTATTTTTCCAACAAATATAACAGCAGAAAATTGATCTGCCATAAATTTTGGCAGGTACGCTTGGAGTTGTTTTTAGGGGATTTTGCAAAATGACCTATGAATAGTAGTTTTTCAAGATTTTTGTTAAAAAGTCAATTTT